AGACCCAGCCGGAAGGGGTGTGAGGGATGCCGCCGGGGGCCCAGCTCCGGTGCCGCACCCCGTAAAGGGCTGACCTCCCACCTCGCCACTCACCTCCTGGAAGCCAAGACCAACCCGCGTAGATCTCCCCTGGGTAACGTGCCGGGAGGGAAGGGAGCCGCGGGGAACGAAGCCCCCTGGTTACTGGCTCGGACCCACCGGGGTTCAGTTTCTGTCGATGTTCCATCCTCCAGCGGAGCTGTTGCAGAGACTCGGGAGCTGAAAACATGCCTTCAGCCACTCTGGGGCCCAACGGGAGGCTAGTGAATGAGGAACTCATTGTTACCACATTGGCGAGCGGGGATCAGCATGATGGGGCCCGGGAGCCACTGGCCTCCGGAGCCCGAGGTGTGCCCTTCGCATGGCCCGGTCGCTCTCCTTTCCTGTGGAGCTCCATTCCCCTCAGGAAAGGCGTGCGGGGTGCTGGGAGAGTGGAGGAACGGGAGGAAGTGAGACCTCTAGGGTGCCTGGTGACGCCTGGGGGTGTTTGTTTCTCTTAGAGCCGTGGTCAGCAAACTGCGACTCGAGAGCCACATGCGGCTCTTTGGCCCCCTGAGTGTGGCTCTTCCTAAGCCTTAGATGCAAGCAGGTCCATCACATAGGAGTGCCCTAATTAAGTTAATAACAATGTACCTACCTATATAGTTGAAGTTTAAAAAATTTGGCACCCAAAAGAAATCTCAATCGTTGTACTGTTGATATTTGGCTCTGTTGACTAATGAGTTTGCCGACCACTGTAAGAGGTAGTTTTTCCAGAAACTCAGCCTAGATCGCCTTGGGCCGGTGGTGCTTAGGTAGCCCTGTTACCTGGAGACCCAGCTGCTGGGCTGCATTCCTGAAAGGGCCGTCCTGGTGCCAACAGCAGCTTCCAGTGTGAGGCCTGAGGAACCTGTGCCCTTTCCATGCCAGAGTTCAGACAACTGCGTGCCACACTGACAGGATGCGTCTGCTCCCTGTACAGCCGGAGAAGCCTGCCATCCTGGCCCAGAGCCCTGGCCCAGAGAGAGGGAGAAACATGGATTTGTTGTTCCACTTATTTGTGTGCTCATTGGTTGATTCTTGCATGTGCCCTTGTTATATTGTAAATCAGCGAGCTAAAACAGAAGACGCCTTAACCAATAAGCCAAATTAATTTGGAGTCTTATGCTAGTGGGCTCAGAGGAAATATTGCTTTTCAAATTCTGGGCCCAACATGGAGGAAGTCTTCCCTTTTAATACTTTTTCCAGCTCTTTGCCTTCCAAAATTGGAATGAGACTTCCAGACCTTCTGTGTGCTGGGAAAGGGCCGTGAGACCATATCCCAAGGCCTGGCCTGATGCCAGCACTGACAGCTCTGTATGGAGCATAGTTTCTGGCCTCTCTGGAATGGGAGTAGTCTTATTTTCTCTATTATTTAAGCAAGCAAGTGTTTACAGAATCCAAAATAGCAGGGTTAAAATTTTAAACAGCAGTTTTTATATAAGATGGAGGTTACTATGCTTCACGCTGATCAGGAATCAAACCGGGACTTTCTGGTTCATAGGCTGCTCAACCACTGAACCATGCCAGCTGGATGACTTCTTTCTTTCATATATATATTGATTACAGAGAGGACGGGAAAGGGAGAGAGAGAAAAAAAAAAGAGTAAGGCATGATTTTGCTTACAAGACTTGGAGGAAAACGTGACAGCTCACACTCACTTTATTATTGTTGAGTCAAATCAGTCTTAACATTGTTCATTTTTTAAATGTGTTTATTGATTTTTTAGAAAGAAAGGAAGAGGAAGAAACATCAATGATGCGAGAGAATCATTGACCAGCTGCCTCCTGCATTCCCCCTACTGGGATAGAGCCCCTAACCTATGCATGTGCCTTGACCTGGAATCAAACCAGGGATATCTTGGTTCATGGGTACATACCCAACCACTAAGCCAAGCCGGCTGTGCACACTATTCCTTTTTTCATTGCTGACTATTACAGATGTTCCCAATTTCCCCCCATACTCCTGCCCCTTTTTCTCCCTCTACCCTGCCCCCACTGCTTCTAGTCCTCACCACAATATTGTATATGTCTATGGCCTATGCATATATGTATGTACTTTGTTTAAAATGTTTTATATTGAATTTAGAGAGTAGAAGGGAGAGGGAGGGTTGAAACATCAATGATGAGAGAAAATCACTGATCAGCTGTCTCCTGCACCTCCCCACCCCCACTCTGGAATTTAAGCCTGCAACCCATGTATGTGCCCTGACCTGGAAAAGAGCCAGTATCACATGACCTCATCATTTGTGGAATATAATGAGCAGCATAAATTGATGAACAAAAATAGATTCAGAGACATAGAAGCATCAAACAGATAATCAAACTTCAGAAGGAAGGTGGGGGTGGGGGTGTTAAGAGATCAACCAAAGGACTTGTATGGGCAGGGCCCAGCAGCCACCACTGCATGCAGCCTGCCCTCTCTCTGCCAGCCCTAGGGAGGCAGACAGCGCCACGGGCTGGGCCCAGGCACCAAAGGGTGAGGCGTGGGTGTCCTGGGTTGTTGGAGGAGAGCAGGAGCCCCCATTTGGAAGCTGAGCACTCACACACTGAGAGGCAGCATACCTGGTGCCGACAAGGGGTGCGAGGAGCCCAGACCAGGAGGAGGAGGAGCTGGGTCAAAGCCGTTTACTGCCCCTTTGTTGAAAAAAGATGTATGCCCTGATCTAGAGAACTTTGTGCCGTTGCTATTCATCACCCCGCAGTTAACATTCCCTGAAATATAGGATTTTCATGATGCTTGGTCCTTTGCAAAATTCCTGCAAGCTGCTAATTTGGATTCTAAAGCCCCTACTTTCCGTAAGAGATCCCCCATAATGTTTAGTGCTGACATTCTAGCTGAAGGAGTCAGTTGACTGGTACCAAAACCATTTGGTATAGCTTTTGGCGAAGGAAAACTGTTCTCTGTTCCTTTGCCAACAGAAAAATAAATAAAAACCAAAGAAAAAAAGAACCATGACCTCCTGGTTCATAGGTCAAGGCTCAACAAATAAGCTGCACCAGCTGGGCTACATTATTTTAAAATTTTAAAAAACTCACGTATTTTTTATTGTTGACTTGAGGCCTGGTGCGCCAGTGGGGTCCCTCAGCATGGCCTGCAGGGATGGGGTCAAAACTGGCAGTCCAAAACCCCTTGCTGCTCCTGCCTGCCACTCCTGCTCATCCCGATCTTTTCATCAAGTTCACTTTCTAAAAGTGCATTCCATTCAATGGCCTGATTTAGCCTTTATTCAAAGTCTTCCAGTGAAACTATTGTTGCCCTTTTTGCTCACTAGGTCGTCATTGGCCTGCTCCAGCTCTCTCAAAGTGCCCCCGCCTCTGCTCAGTAGGTTTGCTGTCACTCTACTGCGGTCTTTGGGCTGCTGGGCTGTGGCAGCCAGCTGCACCCGTAGGTCAGCTGAGTGGTGCTCCCACTGTGAGAATGAACACATTGAACAGGGCGGGCAACTCCTGCATTGAGTGGCTGCTTCCTGGTGGTCAGTGCACATCATAGCAACCTTATGCAACTGCTCCTTAGTGGCTCGAGTCTGACTTAAATCATCTAATACTGAGACCTGCTTGTAGCTCTGTGCATATTGATGTTCTAGTTTCTCCTTTAATGCTTCCACTTCATCTTTGAGTCTTTGGTTATCAGCTTGCAAATCTCTATTTCTTTGTTCAGCCTGTACTAATTGTGCCTCCAACTCTGCTTCTAATTCTCTGCTTCCTTCCTGAAATACAACTAGCTCCCTCCGAGCTTCCTGGAAGCTTTGTTTATACTTTAAGGACAATTCCTTCCAATAAGCAATTTCCTCCTTTAAACTTGAAAAATCTGGTATATCTTCACCATCCATGATCAAGAAAGCCTCCGACATATCAAAAGTGCATATTTGCCGCCACCCGACCGGCATCTCCGCTCCGCTGGCCTCCCCAGGCCCACCCAGCCACTCAGCTCCGCTCCCCTCTGCAGCCTGAGCTCTACTGCGCGAACCCCACCGCCCGGCTCCTCCCCACAGGTCAGGAGTCGCCTGGGGGCCTGAGGCCATTCTGTGACGCACCCATGTTGTTTTTAATAGAAGGCTTATGTGTGAAGTCAATTTGCCGGTCTTGTCCAGGGATTTTTTGGCCCCTAGCCTGATGAGTGGGGAAAGAAGGAAGTCTAACCTGTCCTTGAGGAGATTAGGGCTGATTTGGAAGAGAGAGGCCTACTGAGTGACAAGTAGAACAAGTTTTGGTGACATCTTGCAGTAGGAAGGCTAGGCTAGGACATGTGCTGAGGGGTTTTAGGAGTTGTAAATGTATCCCATACGTAGGGAATTGTGAATAGCCTGTAAGATATCACAGGGCCTGTCCTTTGAGGGATATATTTTCCCTGAAATTTTAACTATGGATCTTCTTGCATAGCCCCAGGAGCTACTAGGGACTGAAGTTCCTCTGGAGTGTATTAATGTGTTATATGGTGTATAGTTAAGAGTTGGGGAGACATAGGCTTCCTCTGAGCCACATCTTGGTCTCCTGTCTGCTCTTTTAATTCCCTATATTATGGGATCATTCCTGACTCAGAGTCCTTTGCAGTGATGACTTTTAAGAAGGTTATAAAAGGGGAGAGACATTCCTAAAAAACAAGCAGGAAGACCTGTGAGGCTTTCAATGATTGTGTCAAGAACTGTGAATGAGAGCTGGAAATAAAGGATGGACCAATTTAAGGATGTAAGTAATAGAAGAGAGGTTGGGCTGCTTTAGCTTACTACGAGAGAAGGGGTTCCTTTGGGACATCAGGGGTGATCAGGTCTTGACTCACCAGTCAACACAATCCTTCCACCCATTCACAAATAAGCAGCTTAGCCAAAAAGTAAACAATGAGCATTTACATTTATGAACACACTTTAAACACAGTCTTACTTTCAAGAAAATATACAGGAGACCATGGGTAATAACTAAGAGCAGGCAAATTAAAACATGTCTAGCAAGCCCAGTGCACCTTGAAAGGAATTTGTGCACCTTGAAAGGAGCTGTGGGCCAGGAGGCTGAGGTGGGCACGGGGTGGGTCTCAGTCAATCCTCCACACCCCTGCCCGGCCCCTCCCACCACAGCCCCTGCTGCGGACAGCCCCACTCCTGCCACCGCCTTTCCTGTGCGCTCATGGCGCTCCCCACTCGCATTCTTTGATAGCACAGAGCAATTGGGGCCAGCGCCATCGGGCAATTGGGGCCGGCAGCTGCCACTTGCACCCATTGAAGGCGCTGAGTGATTCAGAATGGCATCGGGCACAGGCAGCGAGTGCCGGCTGCAGTTGTGAGCATGGCTGGAGCCAGCAGTGGCTGTGAGCGGCGGCTCTGGTGCTGGCAGCGGGTGCAACAGGCAACTGCTGGCCCCGATCACCCCTCAGGAGCAGGGGGGGTCCACTCAAGGCTACAAAGTTTTATAGAAGATAAATCCCGTGAAAGAAAAGGAGAGGCTGGGAGCTTGGGTCGCCGGGGGACATGGCCAACCTGAAAACGTCCATCAGTCCCTCACCCAGGCTGGCCACAACCCCATGGTGTGAGGGTCCCCACTTGGAGGCTTGGGGAGCCTGAAAACAGCCATCAGCCCCTCACCCAGGCTGGCCAGGCACCCCAGCAGGACCCCCCAGGGCCGGTGCTGGGTGCTGGCAGCAGGTGCAAGCACTAGGCGGGAGCAAAGAATTTTCAGTAACCACCAGAGACTCGTCCTGATGACAGCAACCGGTGCCCTGCCTTGGTCTGGTGCCCCCGTTCAGCTGCTCCACCATCCTGCCACATCAACGCCCGCCATGTTCCACACTCTGCTACCCGCTGCTGACACCTACTGTGTTCCATGCGCGTACCTGGTGGTCAGCATCCGTCATAATGACAGGTTGTTTGATTGTCCCGCCCTTCGGTCTATTTGGATATTAGAGTTTTTATAGATAGACTATATAGATAGTATTACAGATGTCTCCCATTTCACCCCTGTGTATATATTTTGTGGATCTCTTGTATTTCTCCCCACCCTCTTCACCTTGGAGAAGTGTCAGTCTCTTCCAGTTAGCCAGGCATCTAGTCTGATCTTGTCCCTCCCCAGGCATCACTTGCTGTGCCACAACACCTTTATTCCCCAAGTCTTTGGCTGGGATGCAGGTACTCCCCCTGGGCTGTGGAGAAAACTACATTACCCAGAAGGAAATGCACCCAAGTGGACGGAGCAAAAGGGCATTTGGTGTCTGTGCATCCAGTTAGGGCAGGATTTCCACCTTCCTCTTGGTGGTCATTTTGACCTCTTTGGTCTTCACAGATTCACACGCTTAAGTTAGTGCTCCTGAGTAGGAAGAGGTTTGAGAGGCACAGTCCCTGCTGTGCAGGGTGCGTCTGAGTCTGGTTGAGCCCTAACAGACGGAGCTTGATGTCTCCGAGCCTCCCAGACTGTCCTCTGCTCACGTAGCTGGACCCCAGCAGTGATACAAAGCCTTTAAGTTACCAAAGACTTTGCAAAATTATTTGTAGGCACATGAGGCTGGAGAAAAAGCAGGTGGAAGAGAGAACAAGCTCAGCAGCCTGCTTTCAGGCCTCTAGACACTTGGATTTAAAACTGTCACATTTTTCCTTAGACCTCCCAGGTCCTACCGCCCAGGTCGCAGCATTCAGAACGTTAAGTCCATCATGGGTGATACATGGTGTGATGGGGGGAAGAGTAGGCTGCAGTGCCACCTTGTAAGGACGTGATGGTGGGATTGAACTGGGAGGATTCAGGAAACCCAGGCCTGTGTGGGTGTAAAGGCAACAAAGAAGATGAGGTGTGGTTTTGCATGAGGATTTTTACGTTCATTCTCAGAACGCTGGGGCCATAGATGTTAGAGACTGTTAAGTAAGCATTCCTAGTTTTGCAGTAAAGAAAGTTGTGTTCTTTGGGAAGGCAGTGGGGGGAGGTGAGAAGACTCCCAGGTAGGAGTAGTTTTCAGAGCATTAAAGGATCTAAAGGCTCAATTTAGGCCATTGAGACTTATCATTGTCTTCATGTCATATCATAGAGAAGACAGAAGTTGGGAACTCAGAGGTGAGAGTACCCAGCGATTCTGAGAGAGTATTTCTTTTTCAGAGGAGGGGACAATCATGGAGGAGATAAGGCATTTACAGTCTAAGGAATGGCACATCTTTGTAGGGAGATAGTGAAACTGAGGTAGGTGACTGATGTTTGGGACACCTGGGTTTTATGAGGGTATGCGCTGTAGCCCAGATCAGGCACCGAGGTAGAATGAGAAAAGAGTTTAGGAGGGTATTTAGTAAGATGCAGTGTGTAGGTGAGGTGGCTAATGACTGTGAGAGTAATCTGTCAACCCCATAATAGAGAATGAGGAGGGGAGAAGGGTCTCAGCGAATTCAGCAGAGCAGAATAAGTGGTCCCAGTGTCAATTAAAAAGGACATTGGCTTACCTACCACCAAATTGTTACCTGAGGCTCCATCCTGGTCATGTAAGTCTGTGGGGCCTTGTCAGAGCCTGGGCAAGCGGGTCTTGTTTTTCAGTTTTGCCCCTTGCTAGCATCCAGAGCTTTCTTATAGGTCTTGAGACAGTATTTCAAAATAGGATAGAGCAGTGGTTAGGCCCCCTATGTCAGTTCCGTCCTCTGCTGTGATGCCCAGGGTTATGAGAAGGATTATCTAAACTGCCCTTTTGTGTCAGATATGGTGGGTTACGGGGACAGGTAAAGACTGATTATTGGGATCTACGTCTACATTCGGTGAGCAATACATGAGAGAAAGGCAGATTCTGACGGGTCTAATCTGGTGGCTGTAATAGGGGACTCCAGCTCATGTGATGGAGGTGTTCCAGTCTGGGATCCCCAAAGCAGATCCAGAGGGTGGTCTTGCTGGACTGGCTGAAGTCTGACATGGAGGGGCCAGACTGCAGTCTGATTTCGAGTGGCCTTCCCTTCTGCACCATGGGTAAGGTCCAGGCCAGGGTCTCGGGTTTGAGCAGGACTTGGTCCAGTGTCCTTCCTTGAATTTGGGCTGTAAATTATTTGATGGGTGGATTTCCATTAGGAGAACCCAGTCCCCTGGCTGTAGAGGAGTAGGGGGGATGTCTCCCATAGAAGGTGGAGGCAGGACTTGGTCAGCATGTTCTCTCAGTAATAATTGGATAAGATTTAAAATGGGGACATAGTCTCTGGGGAGGGGTCTCTGTGGAAGGGATGTTTCCTAATAAGGTGGGTCTTCCATACATGAGTTTAGAGGGACTAAGAAGCGATGTTTAGCCCCTGACTCACCCTTGGTTGGAGGACTGGCACTTCATTTCGGGTTTGTGAGAGTGGTGGCTAGGAGCTAAAAGGCCTTCATGTGGGCCTCAGCCTTGGCCTGATCTCACCTTTGTTAATGGGGACATAGTCTCTGGGGGGGTCTCTGTGGAAGGGATGTTTCCTAATAAGGTGGGTCTTCCATACATGAGTTCAGAGGGACTAAGACAGGAGGGTGCATGGGGGAGTTAGGAGAGTAGTTTAAGGTTCTTTAGTTTCAAGAGTTAATTTGATTAGGTGGGACTTAATGAAGGAATTTGCCTTTTTTAAAAAATTAAATCTATCATGTGGGCCTCAGCCTTGGCCTGATCTCACCTTTGTTTTTGGATATTGGTCGCCTCATCTCTATTATTAAAGACCTTAAAGGCCAGGTTAAGAAGGTCTTTTTGAGAGGTTTGTGGACCTGTGTCTACTTTTTGAAGTTTATGGTGTATGTTGGGAGATGATTGAAATATAAAATGGGTGTTCAGAAGAGGGGCTCCCTCTGGCAAGGTGGGTTCTAAGGTAATAAATTTGTGTAAGGCCTCTGTGAAGCAGGAGGAGGAGAGCTGGGTTTTTGTCCGGGCCTTGAGTGATTTCATTAAGTTTGTCATAATCAATGGCCTCATCCATAGGTGTACGATTTTTGTCCAGTCTCTTCACGCACTCCCCTCACCCTTTTCCCCCCAGAGAATAGTCAGCGCACTTCCTTTCTATGCCCCTGATTCTATTATCTTCACCAGTTCATTCTGTTCATCAGATTATTTATTCACTTGATTTTTAG